AATCCACTCACCTCAGCCTCCCAAGGCGCGGGATTACAGGCTGAGCCACCGAGCTCAGCTGGTTATTTTTTCTACATTATCCATGCTGGTCTCGAACTCCCGGACTCAAGCAATCCTTCTGCCTCAGCCTCCCAAAGTGCTAGGATTACAGATGTGAGCCATTGCACCTGGCTCCACTGCTTCTCATAGAAAGCTTCTGTTATGGACCTTCAACACAGTAGGAGCTCAATAATTAATTTTCTGCCTTCTACAGTTTTCTCCCCCCTTCTCCATTTCATTTCTAAAAAATCATGAAGGAAGGTTTTCATCAGGCACTTTAAGTGATTTTAGGTAGAGCAAAGCACAGGAGGAGGAAGCCCAGGTGCAGAAGAGAGCGTGTTGCAGAAGGGGAGCTATCAGCCCCTCAGCAGAGATCTTCCTTCCCCCTCCATGCCCCTCTGCTCCATTTTTTCCTCCTCTGGTGCCTGCCAGCCTCCCGTCTGGGAGACTTTTCCTTCCCACCATCCAGCACTGCCTGTGGGAAGCTCACCGTGCTTGCAGGCCCAGGGGTGGGGCCTATGGCCCCCGCTGGCTTGGGCTCCCTGCTCTGTTTCTTCAAGTATTTGTAGCTCAGTAGGTTATACCAGCGAGTCGACCTCTCCCCAGACCGGCAGACCTCAGCCAGGCTGATCTGGGCGCCTCCCTGTTGGGGATGGAAAAAAGGGGAGAATGAGCAGGGGTGACAAGGTGCTGGGGATGTGGTTCCTGGTGTGGAGAACACCACTCCAGGTAAGAGAGAGGCCTACTGAGAGGAAGAAAGGCCTAGCTAACATTTCCATTAACTCACTCATTCACTCATTGGTTTAATCATTTGGCAAACATCTTTACTGAGGACCTAGTCTACTGTTTTTTTTAAACTGTGACAAAAAAAAAAATCCTAATATAAGTTTATTCTCTTGCCTCAGCCTCCCAAAGTGCTAAGATTACAGGAGTGAACCAACATACCTAGCCACAGTTCTATTTTTAATTTTTTGAGAAATCATTATGCTGTTTTCCTTAGTACTTGCCCATTTAATAATCCCACCAACAATACACAAGAGCTCCAATATATCTAGATCTTCACCAACACTTGTTATTTTGCTTTTTTGATAGCCACCATCCTACTGAGTTTGAGGTGGTATCTCCCTGTGGTTTTGATTTGCATTGCTCTGCTGATTACTGCGTATTGGGGATCTTTTCAATATGCATGTTGGCTATTTGCATATTATCTTTGGAGAAATGTCTATTAACATTCTCTGTCCATTTTTAAACAGGGTTATTTGATTTTTCGTTGTTGAATACTCATCCTTTGTTAGTCCTGTTAAGCACTAGGTTCTGTATTAGGTACTAAGGAGAAGGATGGTCTCCTCATGGTCCCAGCTTCTAGGTGCTAACAGTCTCCCAGGGAACTCAGACACTGACAAGTAATTAATTACAAGTGAGGTGAAAAACTGCGTATCATTTCTCCTCTACCAAATCTGCAAAAATTAAAAAAATTGACAACATATGCTGTTAGTGAGCCTGTGGGGAAACAGGTGCGCTCTCACCTTACTCATGGGAATGTAAAATAGAAGAAACCCTGTGGAAAAAATTTTGCCTTATCTAAGGAAAGAAAAGATGTCTTTTACCCTTTGACCCAGCGATCCTCCTGGTAGGTGTTTATCCCACAGACACACTGCACAAGTACAAAATGATTCCCCAAACACGAGTCTTCATTCTGACCTTCTTTGCAATAGCAAAAGATTTTAAACAATACAAAGGTCCAGCAACAGGAGACTGGTTGAATAAACTATAATCGATTTTCACAGTGGAATATTATATAGCTATGGTAAAAATAAGGAGGATCTCTTTGTACTGCTACAGAGACAGCTCCAGCTATATATATTTGTAAATTTTATCTTTTTGTTGCCTTTAAACATTTTAAAATTAAACTAATTAATTATTGCTTGTTTTTTAAGAGACAGGGTCTTGCTCTGGCTAGAGTACAGTGGCACAATCATAGCTCATTGCAGCCTTGAACTTCTGGCCTCAAGGGATCTTTCCACCTCAGTCTCCAAAGTAGGTGAGACTATAGGTGGGCACCACCAGGCCTGGCTAGTTTTTCAAAAAAAAATTTTTTTTTCTCGAGAGACGGAGCCTTACTGTGGCACCCAGGCTGGTCTTGAACTCCTGGAATCAATCCATCCTCCCACCCTAGCCTACCAAACTGCTGGGATTATAGGCATGAGTCATTGTACCTGACCTCAGGCTATATTGTCAAGGGGGAAAAAGCATAGTGCAGAACATATGCTACTTTTTAATACAAGAAACAGAGGGATGGGGCTAGATATATTGTCTATCACACCATGTTTGAGATGCAAGGGAGAGCAAACGTGATCATATGTGAAAGAAGAAATGATGAAAAGACAAGACACTGCTTGAAGAGCTCACCTTCTTCACCTAGGTTAGGTGGGGACGCAGGCGGGGGAGAGCAGGATGCCTCCTAAGTAAACTTTTCTATACAATTTTTTCTTTGAATCGTGTAAATGAATCCCATATAATGAAAACAAAGTACAACAAAATAACCTAACAGAATATAAGCTCACAGAGAAATAAATTGTTTCAAGTGTCTTAATATTTTTTACTGTACATCCTTAGTCGAAAGGACTACAAAATATAGTTTTAATCAATCCTCAGAGGTCAAATTGTTCTAGCATAACCTATTTTGATGAGTCAGGACTGGGAAAGTGGTTTGCTCACCCTCCTCTAAAACACCTATGTTGATGGGTGGTGGGGATACCCAGACCCTGTACTGATGGCTGGTAGAAATACCAAAAACCGGCTGGGCACAGTGGCTCATGACTATAATCCCAGCACTTTGGGAGGCCAAGGCAGGAGGATTGCTTGTGTTCAGGAGTTCAAGACTAATGTGGGCAACATAATGAAGCTTCACCTCCAAAAAAAAGGAAAAAACTAGCTGAGCATGGTGGCGCACCTCTAGTCCCAGTTACTCAGGAGGCTGAGGAGGAAGGATTGCCTAAGCCCAGGAGGCCAAGGCTGTGGTGAACTATGATTATGCTACTGAACTCCAGCATAGGTGACAGAGTGAGATTCTGACTCAAAAACAACAGACAAACCCAGAAGCCAGTTTGCCAAGTGGGCCTGTAGCCAAGCAATGGCTTGGGATGGTGCACAAGATGAAGTTCTTCTGTCCACCTGGAATCCTTCTGTTTTTTGCTTCTACCAGGATGTACCAGAACAAGGCAGGGACTGTGCTATGTATGCATAGTACAGCAAATGTGGGGCAGTGCATGGTCATTTCTGGGAGAGCTGTGGTGAGTAGGGAGAGAACGCAAACATGATAACGATACTTCATGTGCTTGGCACCAGCTTCCTCATCTGAAAACAGGGAAAATGACTCCTGCCCACAGGGCTGTTGGGTGGATTAAAGAGTGCTAAATGCGTGACACATTTTAGGCACCCAGAACAAATATGCACAAACATACATATATTGCTCATTTATTCACTCATTGAATATTCCCTCAGCTCTCTGCAGATTCTGGAGCCACAGAAACATGTAGGATGGGATTCTTTTCCCAAAGGCTTGAGGTTTCCTGGGGAGACAGACAAATGTTGGACATTATAGTCCAGAACATGCCAGGCCATGTGTGGGGTACAAGGTAGAAGGAACATGATCGTGGCTTTGAGGTGTAACACCTCTACCAGATTGTTATTCTTTTTTAATTTTTAAGAAACATTTAGGCTCTGTCAACCAGGTTGGAGTGCAGTGGTGCCATCACAGCTAACTGCAACCTCAAATCCTTGGGCTCAAGGGATCCTCCTGCCTCAGCCTTCCAAGTAGCTGAGACTACAGGCACGCATCACCACTCCTGGCTAATGTTTTATTTTTGTGGAGACGAGGTCTCGCTATGTTGCCTGGGTTAGACTTGAACTCCTAGGTTCAAGCAATCCTCCTACCTAGGTTTCCCAAAGTGTGGGATTATAGGTGTGAGCCACCTTGCTTGGCCCCGGAATATTAATTCTAAAAGATACATTGTCTATTTGGGGCTGGCTCATCAGTGTGAATATTGCCTACATCTGTACACTAGAAATACTTTGAGGGCATTTATGCATTCATTCATTCATTTATTCAACACAAAAATTTGCTGAGAAGCCTCCATGTGCTAGGCAGTTTTCTGGATACTGGGGATATGGCAGGATTTTTTTTTTTTTTTTTGGAGTCTCACTCTGTTGCTCAGGCTGGAGTGCAGTGGCACACTCACAGCCACCGCAGCCTCGACCTGCTGAGCTCAGGTGATCCTTTCGCCTCAGCCTTCCAAGTAGCTGGAACTACAGGTGCTCGCTACCAAGACTGGCTAATTTTTTATTTATTGTAAAGACGAGGTCTCATCAAGTTGCCTGGCTGCTCTCGAACCTCTGAGCTCAGGCAATCCTCTTGCCTTGGCCTTCCAAAGGGCTGGGATTACAGGCTTGAGCTACTGCACCCAGTCTGATACAGCAGGATTTAATGAGCTTATATTCCAGTCTGGGGGAATCAAATAAACAACTCAATACATGAACTCCATAATGTGTTTCACGGAATCTAAGATGCCATCGATTAGAAAGTATACTATTATTTTATGCACCCCTAAGAAAGAAAAATAGCTGTGAATTAAACTATAACCTGTCATCTAGTATAAATTGCATCTTGATTTCAGAGATGATAAAATGTGAAAATAATGTGGGCCCTACAATCTATGAGATAAAGCGAAACATTAGGTGATAACAAGTGCTGTGAAGAAAAACACAGAGAAAGGGGCTGGAGGGGACAGTGTGGAGAGGGTCATGGGATTCCAAGAAGGGTGGAAGGAAGACCTCACTGAGAAGGTGATGTCTAAGTGACATCCAGGAGGAAGCCAGGGAGCAAGTCTTGCCCACAGAGTCTGGAAATTCCAGCCAAAGGGTATTGCAAGTGCAAAGGTCTGGAGGGGGACCAATTCAGGGAAGAAAGGGAGGCTGCACCAAGAGTTCTGGAGATCAAATCCCAGAGATAAGAAGGAACCTCAGAGGCGAGGCAAAGGGCCCAGGTGCTGGCTGCACCGGGGAGACAGAAGCCACCCTGAGGTTTTAGCAGAATGGCAGGCACTGATTTACATGTAAATAGGATCATCCTGGGAGAGAGGAAGGGAGAAAGGACAGAGGGGCAGGTGAGGAGATGGTGGCAGTCATCCAGGTGAGATATCGTGGCTTGGGTCAGGGAAGTGGTGAAGAGTGGTTGGAGTCTGGGGATGTTTGGAAGGTGAAGCTGAGAGGAGTCAAGGATGGCTCCAGGGTGTCTGGCCCGAACAATGAAGAATGAGGTTGCCAAGAGCTGAGACAGCAAAGACACAGGATGAAAGCTCAGGGGTCCTCTTGTGGTCATGTTAGTTTGAAATGCCTACTGTGGGGGACTTGGGGGTCCAGGTCTCGCTCGGTCACCCAGGCTGGAGTACAGTGGTGCAATCATGGCTCACTACAGCCTTGAACTCTTGGGCTCAAGCGCTCCTCCTGCCTTGGCCTCCCAAAGTGCTAGGATTACAGGTGAGTGCCACCACGCCCGGCAGAGATGTCTGCATGAAGTGTAAGAGAAGATACAGAATATACAGCAGAGACAAGAGATCAGAGAAGAGTGGAGAATCCTTGGCT